AATACAATATTCAAGTGGTTTATTGTGATGATGATGATGAAAGAATTGCATTAAATTTATATTTCTAAAGATAAACATGGAGTTATATTGCCATTAGGTTTTAAATATGAAGAGTTAAAAGCTCATACTACCAGTCTTTTGTCTTTTTTACTGATCTGAATACTAAGCTTGCTTTAATTTTAATGAAAATATCATGTTTTCAGCTGGAAGTCTTTTGTGAGTCTTCCAGCTGAGAAACTGGGATTTCTTTCTGAGGTGTGTGCTTGTGTTTGAGGAAGTGAGTGATGGAAATGGGGTGGCAGGGGGAGGGACAAGAATGCCTTACTGATTTTTTTGAGAGATTTGGAGAAGGATCCAAAATGAAATTTGCCATTACAACTTTTCCTGTGAGAGGCCTTTAAAACACTAGGTATATTTTGTCTATTTTAGAGTAATAATGAAATCGAGAAGATCGAAGGTTTGGAGGATCTGAAAACCCTACAGAACCTTGATCTGTCCCACAATCAGATCAGTAGCCTCCGAGGCTTAGAGAATCATGACCTCCTGGAAGTGATCAACCTTGAGGATAACAAGGTAGTGTGCTTGTTCTTTACATGTCTTATGTCAGTGTCTGCATGAGCGGACACACACCCCATCATTTGTTTCTCAGGGGTTGTCACACTAAATGTTAGCTTAGAAATGTGATTCTAGCAAGCTTCCTAGAGCAATAGTTGCAGAAGGACTGTGTTTTTCTTTTTTAAATAAATACTTAGAATTCTTAATTTTTGCAAGTCGGATGAGTCCTAATTATACTGTTTTAAAGATTTAAACTGAAACCACATGTGCATGATTTTTTGAAATAGATGTGTTCATGAAATTTTTTGTGTACAAAGATGGCATTAGGAAAGTCTGAAATGTCAGAGTAAGGAGATGGAAGGTCTAAGACTAGCCACTGGCTAGGACTGGGGCTGGGGGACCTGGGGGTGGGTGATGTTGGGGAGATGTTGGCCAAAGGGTACCACTTTCATTCAGATAGGAGGAATCTTTTCCAGAGGTCTATTGTATAGCATGGTGATTATAGTTAATAAAAATAAATGTTTCAAAGAATGCTAAAAGAGAGTAGATTTTAAATATTCTCACCACAGAAAACTGACTTTCTGCATATATTAATTAGGTAGATTTTAGCCATTCCACAATGTGTATATATTTCAAAATATCATGTTGTATACAATAAGTACATATAATTTTATCTGTCGATATAAAAAAATAAAAAATGCAAATACCTAGGAAAGACTTAAACTATTAAAAATAAAATAAAGAGAAGAGGCACAGGCAGTAAATTCTTATATCCTGTTGGTAATAATAGTGTAAGTTTTCAATCTGCATGAAGAGTTGGGGATTGGACTTACTCAAATTTTCATGTTGTACTTAATGTACACTTCAAAAATTAAATAAATTGGCTTTCACTCTTAAATAGATTTTATATTTAATAAAGCATCTGGGCTCCTAATCATGGTATATTAATTTGGTACCTATAGCTGATTGCTTATGCAATTGATCTACAAGGTGATTTTATACATATTGAGTATTTTGGGGGAAAGATTTCATAAGGAAGTTGACTATTTAATTCTTCTTGATCATGAAGAACTGGGCCAGCCCTGAAAGAGGCAGTTGGTGTGCTGTGTAGAGCAAGATGTGGTGTTGTGGAGGCTTTGTCCTGTTCTGCAGTGATGGTACCTACCGGTTTTGTCTGATGACTCTTTCATAGACTCTCATCATCTGCTAGGTTATTAAAAATCGAGAGAGGTTAGTCATTAGCTCTAGGTATAAGTCAACTTTTAATCACAGACAAAACTGTTCATTTTCATTCTCACTTATATATTAAATTGTTTTGCCATCTTATCAAGTTAATTAATTAAAGCAGATGACCTTTGATCCCGTGCCCTAAATCCTAGGATGGTAGCACAGTCTCTGTTTCATGTGGTTTTATGTACTTTCCCCACACTTGCCATTAAAGTCTAACTTATAGAAAATTTCCTGCTGACAGTGTTTCTCATATCTACTGGGGATGTTAGAAAGATAGAAGGCACTCATTAAATCCCATTTCAGTGCATCTCAGATAAAGGAGTAATGGTAAGGATTTAGGAAAAGGAGTAATGGTAATTATAACAATTATAGTCATAAGATAATCTAGAGATCTTCACTGAGAACTTACTCACCAGCCATTGTTCTAAGCACTCTAGTTATCTCATTTAATCTTCCTTATAATACTACTATCACTGTTGTGTTCCAAAGAAGAAACTATAGCACAGAGGTAAAGTTACAGGTCTGGCTAGTAGCAGAGCCAGGATTCCAATCTGGAATATTTTGCCTCTAGAGTCAATGTTCTCAAGCTTTGCAGGATGACATAGTAAATGAAATGCAAAGGGGCCTCCCTTCTGAAAAGGGTGAGGTATGAGGATTTCTCATCAACTTTGTGAACCATAGATATAATTTTTAACATTCTTGAATAGACTGAATAAAAGGTATTATAAATTTTAACAATATATTTTACTTAACCTAATATATCCAAAATATTATCAGTTCAATGTGTAATCTACATTCAAAATTATTGACGAGCTATTTTACCTTCTCCTGTTTCATGCTGAGTTTGACATCTGGTATACGTCTTACACTCAGCACACATCAGTTCATCTGGCCATGTTTCAAGTGCCCAGTAGCCACTTGTGGCTAGTAACTACCATATTGGATAGCATGGGTCTAGAAACACCTCAAAAATAGTACATTCTTCTCTTCCATTTCAAGAGACTTTTCAAATTACATCTGAAAAAGTTTACAGAAAAAAGGGGGGTTGTAATTTTCAAATGTTAAAGAGGCTCCATTAGAAAAAAGTGGCCACATGTCCCGAAGGGGGATCCTTTGGCAACAGTTATGTCTGTAACAATAACACAATTCCCTGGCTCCCTGCTGAACAGGTTGGGGAGCAACTGACAGTCCTTTGAAATATTCTTTGAGCCATGGAAAGAGTTCCTCAGAGATTTCTCCAGGACTACTGAGAATATTGTGTATCAGGGATGGAAAATTTATCATTTAACAGAAACATAACATAACTTCTGCTTCTCACATGATGAATTTGATGGCAGAAATATTGTTTTATTGGTAGCACTTTCATTGATGTTAGGAATTTAGTTTTAGCTGTTGAAACGTTGTAACACCTGCCTGTCATTATTTTGAACATCTCTCTTAAGGTCATTTGCAAACATTTACCATCAGCTGGTGATTTGGGGACCTTAGTCATTTTCTACACTGTAGTCCCTCTAAGATTTTAAATCATTTCTGTCATTTAAGTAGTATCCCAAACTGTTAACTCCATTATAACCTCAGTTTTTTCTTTAGTAGCTAGATGTTGTTTTGGGAGTACTTAGAGAATGCTTTTTTATTTCACAGCATTTGTTCCCAACAACTTTTCTGAGCTTTTTTTTTTTTTTTAAGGATTAACAAGGTAATACTCATAAAGCAATAAAAGCATGGAAAGAACTTAAGTCCTAAGTAATGATAGCAGTCCTCCCAGAGCTCACAGGCTATTCATTTTTTGCAGTGCTCTGGCCTTTCCTTCTAATTCATTCTCCCTGAATGCTGGCAGAGACGGTGGCAGCTGGAGACCGTTATCCTACTCTTTATTTTTTTGATGCTTTATATAGGTGGGAAGTTCTTAGCAGGGGACAGACCTCTCGCTGCTTGTTGTTCAGAGATAGATGCCATTTAATGTCTTAGACAAACAATCTATGGGCATTATGTCTGCCTTTATTGGACCCTGGCTCATACTTCTGTTCTCATATGTGACCAATATGTATTTTGGGGATTTGAACATATTCTAGCTATATTCTAGCTTATAAGTGAACTTAATTTCTCTCAGGATATAAGTTTGTTAGCCCTGTACAGAGAGGGGTTGAAGTAGATGATTCCTTGGGGAACCTACGGCTTTTGGAGGCTGACAGCATTGATGGAGAGGCAGCCCCGGATGAGCTTAGGAGATGCAGGCATGATCAGGTGGCCTGCTAAAATCAGTCTCCATTCCACCTGGTCTAGGTGCCCTGCCATGGGATGCACACAGGAAGGAGGCCCCTTTGGAGGCCTTTGGCCACTTCATATCCACAGGGGATAGCAAAGGCAGTGTAGCCTGATCTACTCAGCAATGGCTCTCTTGGCTCTCTAGAGAATGCTGATGGTGCACACTTTGTGTGCAGGTCCTGATGTTGCCTCATCACTTTTCCAAATACTTCTGAACTTTCAGATTGATATCCATGTGACTTTATCCTTTGCTCTTGGCCCCTAACTAAATTCCTACCTTTAGTTAGCCTGGCCCCATGATGCAGTCAGCCTGCACGGCGAGTTGTGTGTGCCTCCCTTTAGCACTGGTTCACTGATTTGAGTGTAGGCTGTAGACCCCGAGGCTGTTGGGCTATAGTCTTCTGACTCTGTCAGGCCAGCAGTGAAAACAGAGAGCCTGTTACCATCAGTTTACGTGACTTGGAACCTAGACCAGCACTCTTGGGGGCAGATGGTGAAATGAAGTGGTCCCTTAAAGAAGGGGGTTGGAACGCCAACTTGCAATGGATTATGGGCATTTTCTTCTGATCCTCATGCAGACCAAGCTTATTTCCACCCCAGGAGCTTCATAACATCTGGTGTCTCTGCTAGAAGGTTTTCCCCAAATTTTCCAAAAAAATTCTCTCCTTCATTTCATCTAAGCTTCTGTCTAACCCTCACAAGAAGGCCTCTCCAACATCCTCCCAGTCCCCTTCACCCCTTCCCACTCCTTCATTCATCATCAGTACTTACCACTGCCTGAGATTGTTGCATCACATATTCCATTTGCACATCTTTTAAGTGTTCATTGCCTCTCCTACTAGAATGTTGATTTCACAAGCTCAGGGACTTCATCTGTGTACTTTGTGCTGTGGGCCTGGCCCTTAAGAACTCTGTGCTCAGCTCAGCACCCGGTGCTCAGTGGTTAGGGTGCTGGCCTCATACACCGAGGTTGGTGGGTTTAAACCCGGCCCAGTCCTGCTAAACAACAATGTGACAGTGATAACAACAACAATAAAAATAGCCAGCATGGTGGTGGGCAGTCTGTAGTCCCAGCTACTTGGGAGGCTGAGGCAAGAGAATCACTTAAGTCTAAGAGTTTGAGGTTGCTGTGAACTAGCTGTAACACCACAGCACTCTACAGAGGGCAACATAGTGAGACTCTGTCTCAAATTAAAAATAAATAAATAAAAAGAACTCTGTGCTGATCACAGCTGGCATGAAGAACACCGACTGAGTGCATGGTCCTGGGACCATGCCTGATTGCTTTCCTTCTACTGAGGACTTGTTTGGTGTTTAAGTTCCCTGTGGTAAGATTCAGTGATTGTGTATAAGAAGGGAGGCTCGAGTGTTTCCCTTACTGGGTAGAGAAAGGAGACAGAATAGGGATCAGAGGAACTGTCTGAGCTGAACTGATGAGGGCCTTGACCTAGACAGTGGTGATGAGGAAGGAGAAGGAAGGCTGAGGTCCAGAGGTGTTTTGGAGGTAGACTTAATAGGGTAGGCTGGAGGCGGTGGATGAGGAAGAAGATATTGCTGAAGATGACTCCCCAGGTTTCTAGCTCAGGGGACTGGGTGACAGCAGAGCCATGTAACCTCCTTACTCAGTCATCTAGAACCTCTGAGTTCTTGAATATTCATCTTGCTCTGAGCTTCAGAAGCAGGCATCCTATTCCACACCACTGCATGGGCGAGCTATGCAAACTTTTTATAATGGACAGTGAGCCATGATGTGGAGCTACTTTTGTGGAAGCTAATTCTTATTAAGTATAGTGAGTTGAATTGTGGCCCTCCAAAAGATATATCCAAACTCCACCCCCAAGAGCTTGTGAACATGCCCTTGTTCAGAAACTAGTCTTTGGAGATGTAATCAAGTTAAGCACCTCAAGATGAAATTATTCTGGATTTAGGGTATCCGTAAATCCAATGTCCTTATAAGAAATAGAAGGGGAGAAGATACAGAGCAGAAGGCCCCGAGACCCATGTAAAGACAGGGGTAGAGATTGGTCTTATGTTGCTACAAGCCAAGGAATGCCTGGAGCTACCAGAAGCTAGAAGAGGCAAGGAAGGATTTTCCTCTAGAACCTTCAGAGAACAAATAGCTTTCCCAACCCCTGGATTTCAGACTATTGGTCTCTAGAACTATGACAATAAATTTCCATTGTTTTAATCCTCCAAGTTGTGGTAATTTGTTATGACAACCATAGGACGCATACACTGAGACTAAGTGTCTGGGAAATGGAGAACTAAGTCTGCAAGTTGTACTTAATCATGGTCTTCCATAGTTTCTCTTTTTACATTTTACTTAAAGAAACTTCTCTAGACCCCAAGGTTTTAAATATTCTTCTGTATTTTTTGGTAATTTCAAATTTTGTTTTTTCCTGTTCTGTCTTTAACTCAACTGGGATTTATTTTTGTGTGTAGTGTGAGGTAGGCATTTAATTCCCACATGGACACATGTTCCACTGTTTCAAAACTCTGATTTAATAATTGTAAAACATTCTATTGAATGGATATGCCAGGATTTAGTGAGCCATTTACTTATTCGAAATTTGCTGTGTTTACAACTTTTGCTATTAATAAAATGCATCTATTATTTTTTAGGATAGAATCTTAGAAATACCATTAGTGGGTATGGACATTTTTAAGACTCTTGATACATTTCCTGAAGCTTCATACTAATTAATACTCTCACCAGCAGTATATGAAGTCAGAATAACTTTAAGGCACATCTTACTACACCCTTATCAACAAATACCTTTTTAAAATTATGTAATCTGTTAGAAAAATAGTATTCATATCATATTTTGTATGCTTTTTATTGATTACCAGTAAGTTAAACATTTTTTTCCTTGTTAGACATTTGATTTCCTTTTTAAAAGTTGTCTATTCATGCTGATGACTATCATTTATTTAGTGCAGTTCTTTTGCTTTTCATTGTGCTTATGGTACTTTGGATATATATATTAAAATTATTTATGAGGCATATAAATATTTTTCTTTGTGTATTCCTTTATTCATTTATTTTTTGTTTTTGTTTTGTGTTTTGAGTCTTGCTCTGTCACTCAGGTTGGAGTGTAGTGGCCTGATCATAGCTCACTGTAATCTCCAGTGAGATTCCCTGGTTCAAGTGATCCTTCTCCCTTAGCCCCCCAAGTAGCTGGTTCTAAAGGTGTGCATCTCCATGCCTGGCTAATTTCAATTTTTTTTGAGATACCTGGTCTTGCTGTTGCCCAGGCTGGTCTTGAACTCTTGGCCTTAAGCAATCCTCCTGCCTCAGCCTCCCAAAGTGCTCATACTGCAGGCATGAGTAACTATGCTTGGCCTTTCCTTTATTACTATATTTTTAAAAATTTTGTAAAATCTTTTTCCATTCTGAAATCTGATATACTTTTTATTATTGCCTTTAACTCTTAATCTATAATTTATTTTATGGTAAAATTGAAACAAATTTTAAATTTACTTAAAAAATATAATAGTAATATGATAAATAAAAGCTACCGTTTATTGAGTACTTGTTATATACTCAGCCTTGTACTAAGTAATTCTTACTCATTAACTCATTTAACCAATAGTTTTATTGAATAATATTTTTCTCACTGATTTATAGTTTATTTTTTAATATGCATCATTCCTATTTCTACTAAGATCTGTTTTCTCAACAATTTATTCTGTTCCATCGATCTATCTGTTGACTATTATTTCAGTAATATATTTGTCATTATCACCATCATCATTAACTAGTTGATATAGGCCCACACTTTGAAAAAGTTTTCCTGCATAGATTCATATATATATGTGGCAGTGAAAAAAATTTGAGTGGTTGATTCTATTCAAGTTATATATATATATATATATATAAATATTAACACATATCTACGTACCTATGGCATATATAAAAAATATTTTTAAAGAAAAGAACACCCCCTCTTAGGTCTGGAAGGTAATGCTTGGAGAGCAGGGCCTGGAAGGAAATGGGAAAAAAAGTCATTGCCGGCTTCTGTGGGGTAGGCTGTGGCCAGCCAGGCAAAGGAGGTTAGAGAAAGAGAGTGGACTGGAATCTGGGGATCAGCTGGCTGCTGTGACGTTCTTGGCAGCAGATGGCTGAAGATCCTGTAAAGATGAGCATTTCTGGCTGTATTTTACTAGAAGTCATTTAGGGGTGCTGTTGTCCATGCATCTACTGTAAAATTCTGTTGCACACAGCCTGAGGATTATGGCCTTTTCGAGAGAAGATGTGAAGGTGGGGTCTGCGTGGGATGAGGCTGTGCGTGGGGGGCACGTGCCGGCCAGCCAGGATCTGTTCACTTTGCCAACTCAGCAGAAGTGGGAACTTGAAGCCAAGCCGCCCGTGTTTGCTGCCCTCTTACCTCACTGCCCTTGAAGGCCTGGGAGGAAGGCTGGATCCCTTTTGTTTGACTCTCAAAGACCAGCTGACTCTAACTGACACAATATAACTGGAAAAATCATTTTACACAGCCCACGATTATTGCATTCGTGGTGTTTGGAAGACATTAGAGTGATCTTTCCATGCAACCAGCGTGGAGTTTTCCTATCATGGGACTGTGCTGATTTATTCCATCACATGATGATGAAGTTCTTAGGCATTTAGAAAGTTGTCACTTTTACTAATAAAGTTAGACTGGACATTCTTGTATGTAATTTTTGCCTATCTGATGATCTCTTTAATATGAACTTCCTGAAGCAGGGTGGGTGGCTTATAGCTTATGCACACGTAGCACATCAGATTGACCTTTAGAAAGGATGTACCAGTTTCTACTCCCCCAGCAATGTGTGCAAGTGCAGGTGGCCAGGACTTGCCCGTGAGACATGAAGAATGCAGGAACACATCTCTTAACATTGGTGCGAGATCCGAGAATGACAGCTGTATGCTAGAGGAAAATGGATTCATTGCTTGAAAGTTTTGACAGAGCAGTGTGAATCATTCACTTTTTCACCTCTCTGAATAAAACGATGGAAAATAGTTGATCTCTTTTTCTTATGAGTGATCCAAATGGGTAGTCTAATGGACTGACTAGTCATCCTGTAGAAAAAGGATGTGGGTAGTAACCTAATGTTGCTCTAACAAGATTAATGGGTACAGGTTGTATATTGCAATGCTGGAGTTTGGCTTTCATATGACATCTTTGAAAATGGCTCATATGTTTGTCTCTTGAGTTGGCTTTGGTTCTAGTTTATATTTTATCTGCATAACATGGTTAGATAACTCAGAAGTTCTTGGTGACCCTGCTGTTGGAGTGCTTTGACAATGCATGCAGAAATAATTTGGAGAAAAATAGAAGTGAAGGGCCGTGAACCCGTGGCTCAAAGGAGTAGAGCACTGGCCCCATATGCCGGAGGTGGCAGGTTCAAACCCAGCCCCAGCCAAAAAAAAAAAAAAAAGACATGAAGAAGTCATTAATAACTTTCTGTAAAAGTTCAGTATCTACTTGATATAAAAGAAATAAAATTGATATTGTTAATTAGAGAAAATTTGAATAAAACTATTTGCCTTTCTTTAGTGGAGAATTCAGGACTGCTGCAACCTCAGCTCTATCATTGGTTGAATTAAGAAACTGTCAAGCAATCCTTTTTTTCCCCCTCTTTTCCCTTCCTTTAAAAAAATGTGAATCATAACCCATACAAAAAGTGTATAAAACATAAATGTACAGGTTAGCTAAAAAAATGTTAAGGTGAATTATGGGCACCCATCAAGAAATATGTAATTTTTAACTTTTATCTTTTTAAAAATAATTTCTCTTGTGGAAAAGGTGATAGAGCCATACAAGTATATGCAGTAAGAAGGCTTAACCAGTCACGAATGGCCAAGGCAGCAGAGGCAGGACTGGGAGGGAATTGGGGGCCTAGAGAGTTAGGAACAGGGGTGGGGGTAGGGAGGGTAACCAGGTGATCCTTGCGTGCATTTTTGTACTGTTTCTCTGGCTTTACATACTATTTTATTTCTGCCTTAAAATGAACCTGGGTGAGAGGAGAAACCTTACTGTACACAAGCTAGAGAGGAAAAAAGAAAGCGTGGCTATGTGCATTCACTTTTAATGAAGAGGCATTCAATAATTCCCTTGTTCTGCGTGGCTCTGCAGAATTCTCATTAAAAAGCTAGATATTCAACGGAGCCATTTTTAAAAATAAGTTGAATTGAAACCACCCAAAGTGGCTCTAGGTATTATGTTTTCAATTGTCTTTGCACATTTAGTCTGTTGATAATATTTTTTTCATTGATTAAACAGATTGCTGAGCTAAGTGAAATAGAATATATTGAAAATCTACCTCTCCTTCGAATTCTCAATCTTATAAATAATCCGATTCAGGTAAGAGATCATCTATATGGGGGAGGGGGAGGCAGAGGAGGACTATTCTGGAATTCTTCTTTGAGAAGTACTTTTGGTAAAGAATATCAGGAACGTGAATACAGTTTATCTTCTCTCTTAGGAAACAATAGAAGGGTTTACTAGCAACGTCTAACTGGCTTGGGCTTTTTTGAAATAAGATCTTCCTTCCTGACTGATAGGCTATCTCACCATTGTCAGTGAAGTAAAGCTAGACAATGAATATCTACCTGGCCATTCATGACTCATCCCCGGTAGAGATTACAGGAGGGAGAGAATGGGATTGCAGATGGATGTTCATTTACATTAGAGAGTGCAAGGTGCCAAAGGTGTAGGGAAAATGTGGTTTCTGTTTTATAACAGGGGACAGGAAGTCTAAGATTAGATATCTGAAATAATTTGTCTGGATGTAGCCATGAAATTGGTGTGGTTGTAAGTAATTGTAGAATAAAAGATTTCCTAAGTGTTCTTTCTTAACTTTCAGGACT